GACCGGCAGCTTGCCATTTCCGTCAAGCTCCAAGTAGAATGATTTGCCTAGAAATACAAGGTAAGTCGCTGACAAGGCATGCAGGTGTAACGAATGCCACCGTATCGTTTGACACCAGTGATTTTTCTTCCTGTCAATTCCTTGATCTTTCTTTGGGGCTCAGAGCGAGAAGAATATAGCTATGGCTCCCCCCAGTGAGACTGACTTACAAAGGCAGTATGCGTTGTTTCTGAGAACACAATGCTATCTTCGGTGGTTTCCACACGCTTGATTGTCCTACCCAGGCCTATACGTCTTATCATCCTAACAGCACGCTCGACCTCTGGAAGCATTCTTCAGAAAAATTTGAGATGCAGAAAGTATTGTACTCTTGCCTGGAAGTTCTGGCATCTTTCAGCTATTGGTGCCTATGCGGTGTTACAAACTTAAAGCAAATGACGAATTAGTGCAAGGTGCCGACGGCACTTTAGTATCAACCTCGGCAAGTGAGCTTAATTTAGAGCAAGAACAGTCAAGATCCCCATACCTCTCGAGCTGTTAACGAGTACTTCTACTAATGAAAGGTGGGCTTATATTCCTACATATTCTCAACCTCCACTGGAGATCATTCACAGTTTCTCGTGGCGGCACTCCACCATATGGTCTGAAATGGAGATCTTCATACTGGTTTGTTACATTTGTTGTAGCACTAGGTTGTTAGATTTCTCGGGTGTCACTCAAAGGAAGCAAGCTAACACCGCAGATATATCAGGCATAGGAACTGATTTGCTTGTGTATTCTATCATCATCCCGGTGATACCATTCCAGCTGGAGAAACTAGGATATACTGCGATTTCAGTCCGAACAAGTTGGCTTTTGTTCTCCTATGTGAGATATTTTAGCTGGTGAAAATGCTCACTGTACTCACGCTTTCCAAAGTCTGCAGGTCTTGCTGTTTGTGAGTCCCTGAAGTCATTGATCACGCTTCGATGTCAATCTTTTCAGCCACCATACCCGTTGCAATACTTTCGGAAAGACATGATACACGAAGAGCTCCTCTACTGTTAGGAATACTCGTTCTCATCGGTTCACAGATAATGCTCATGGAGGCCCCGGTTTACTGGCTACTGTGTCTTGCTCGTATCTTGCAGGGGATAGGCTCTACCATGGTATGGGTCGTCGGGCTTGCGTTGTTGTAAGTCAGTCCGTGACTAGCCCCCGGTCTTAGTAAACATTGATGACTTTAGGTGCGACACAACCCCGAAAAACCTCATTGGTCGTGAGTTTGGCTTTGCCGAGGGTTCTCGTATCTGACACTCTGAGAAGGCCAACTTGGGTTATCCATGACTGGGATGTCGATAGGGCAAGTAAATCGGTTTCAACTTCTTAATTCCCACCTGAATTTTATGTAGGTTCCTTCTGGGGTCAGTAATTCTCTTTCGACCCTCCATACTTGAATAACATTTCTTAGACCGCCTGTTGGGGGTGCACTGTATTCGCGTTTCGGTTTTCGTGGCCCCTGTATATTCGGTATCATCACTGCCGTCCTGGATTTCGTCGGTCGTCTCGTTGTCATTGAACGAAAAGAAGCCCTTTACTGGGGCCATGACACACTTGCAGTCCCAGAGAGTGCAGAGCCGGATGTGTTTGAACCTCCAGTAAATGTGTCCTCGAATCCAGTCTTAAACTCCAATGAGAAGAACGATGTCATGAGCGATGATCCTTCTCAAAGTTCAAACACGACGAATCCGTCCATCTCTTTGCTTGCTGTCATATTGGAACTGGCAAAATCCTCCAGAGCGATCACAGCAACTCTTCTCACTTTTATATATGCGTTAGTACTGTTCCAAGATAACTCACTCATGCTGTCACAAATTATACGCCTAGTGTCCTGTATACTTGTATAGAGCCGACATTACCTCTACGCATGCAAGCATCTTGGGGGTTTGATTCCTCAAAAGTGGGCCTCGTTTTCTTAGCCGCCGTGATACCTACCTTCGTCTGCAAGTACCTCTCAAGAGATCCGAGATCGTTACCGTGATGCTGATGCGCTGCTTGCTAGCTGGCCCTGTTTCTGGCCTGATAGCTGATCGGTATGGTACCAGCTGGATCACTGTCATCTCGTTCGTTTGTTCCTTACCATGGTGGGGGCTGCTGATCATCAATGGCAATCTCCCGCTGTTCATTGCTTCGTTTGCACTGTCAAGTACGTTCAAACCACAATTGGTACCTCTCATTGCTTATTTCTTACGACAGACTTTTGCTTATCTGGTGCTATCTCACCGCTCATGGCCGAACTAGCGGCTGTATCCCGAAATATCGACGGGGTAGGGTGTAAGTGTTGAAATTTGAAACGTAGGCTTTCCGTGCCGCCCAACTTACCACTACTCATGACAGATGCGCACGTATACGCAGCTTTCAATCTGGCATACGGAATTGGCGCTGCAGGTAGGTTATGGCAGATCAGATTAATCCCTAACTCTGACAATATCGTTCCAGTCGGGCCTATAGTCGGCGGCCAGGTTTGTTTCCTCTTTGAATGCATTAATTGATGGCTCATCTTTCGTAAACGCAGGTATATTATCAGATAAAACAAGGATGGATGGCACTCTGTTTGTTAGCTGTCGGACTGACTAGTCTTGGTCTTTTGCTGTCTTTCTTTTTTATAGGTGAAGAGACCGTTTTTAGAATACTTTTGAGATGCAGTACTAGTAGACGGCGAGCTAAATAGAGAACAATTTTTCATATCGCCAATATAAAAAAAATAAACGGATCGACTTGACCAAACTTGACCACAGAGAATCACGGATATCAAAATCTTGACGCCTAGTATAGCCACAAGACCAGCTTGTATTAATCATCTGCACTTGTCAATCGCCTTTGTTTCTTCCTTCCCTCCGTGAACCCGAGAACGAGCTCTGAGCTCACTTCGGTCGCGTTATCATTGTACTGTTTCTGCGTTTGTTCTCTCCTTTCGTTTTTGCATGACGGCAGGTAAGGCTGACTGCTAGCTTCCCTTCCCAACAACTTAGTCTTTAATCTCTTACATCGTCTAGCTTATAAAAAATGTCCAGAAACCCTTACCCCTCTCCCCTAAACTCGTCGACATTCTCCAGATCTGCAGGTTCAACACCGAGATTTTTCGATTCTGAACCAGGAATGCCTCCGACGGAAATGACAGAGGAAGATGCAATCGAATCGTCTCTCCAGAGCACAATAAACAGACTTGACCAAGCTTTTGAACGTATCCGGCATCTAAGGAGGGATATCTTGCAGGAGCATGCCAGAAACAGAAGTCTTGGTCCCAGTCATGAAGCTATCGTTCTTACCGGCCAGAACGACGAGAACCGAGCAGACGCGGAGAGAATGAGAACAATCGTTCCACCAGACAGTCACGAGCGCTTGCGACAGTTCGAAGCTCGTCGGGCAGAGGCAGATCGGGAACGGGATAGAAATAGGGAACACGACCATTCGCATTTGTTGCGCGCTGCTGCCGCCCATATGCATCCTTTGGACACTTCGATTTCTCCTTCTCACCCTTCAGCCGCTCAGTCTCCACTGAGCTTTGCTTCTCCTCTCAGTCCTCCTCGTCAACGACTCTTGCCACATCGTGTGCTGGACGGTCAACCAGCATTACGACGGAGAGAATCCTCGGATGACCCTCGCACCGATATTGGAAGACGAGTGGCCGCCCGTGAATCCGCCCGAGATTCTAATTCAAGTCCTTCGCACATGTCCTGGGGGGAACACAGGCTTCCCACAGTCATAGAACGGGACTTTGAATATAGCACCAGCACGAGACTTCGTCGGTCGGAACCTGGGTTTCCCCGCCGCGTTCAACCATCCCTCATGGATCGCATTGACCGATTATCTCGTAGCTTGGATGCCAACGCGAATGCCGCTCCTCAATCTCCGAGCGCAGAAATATCCAATGTACGGCTTGGTTCTTCTTTCTCGCGCCAGAGCTCGAATCGTTCCAATCTCCCTTCAGCAACAACCTCCTCGTCTCTTTCACTTTTATCAAATTTTCCCGTGAACAACTTCGCCACTCCCTCTTCTACTTTACTTTCGAATTCTCCTCTTTTGTTTGAAGAACCTGTCAGCTATGATTATTCGGAGGAGCGGATGCAGTCCATCGATGAAGCTTTAGCAGCAGTCAGTGAAAATGAAAACGCGCTTCCACCGAACTGGGATGGAAGAGAAAATTTGTTGTTGTTTACATCCAGTCCTCTCCAGATGAATCGTGAACCAGATGCCAGACTCGGCCACCATAGGGATAATACTGTTCAAATGCAAACCTATGCAAGACAACGTGAGTTATATCAACTGATAGAAGAAAACTTATACCGAACTAAAACATCTACGTGCATAGCCTTGGATGCCAACGGCGAGGAGATTCAGGAATACACCAGGCCTCGACAACAAACCTTTTCTCGCCCATCACGCAGACACACGATCGATGATTGGGGTCAACAGCGTACCGACGTTCCTTCTCGAAATCCTCATGACTCTGGTGATGGAATCGGCTACACCGTCCATCTGGATGGGCCTGTCTCTATCATTGGTTCAGAGTCCTCTGTCCCAGAAAAGCGGCGGACATTTGGAACTAACGATCCTTGGTACACTGACCCGCTTCCTTCAAAGTTGGTTGACAAGTTCACTGGTCAATCGCAACCCGCTCGACGTCAGCCTTCTTCCCTTCGCATTTCTACACCTATGGTTACGGTTGGTAGATGATTTCTACGCCTCCTAGGTCTTCGCTTCTCAGGTTGACTTCACATTATTGTTCTAACTTATTTGATTTACATACTTCACTTTTGGGTTTCGTTTGCATATTATTTATGTCCTTATTACTACATGCATACTGTACTCTCCGCTTGTTATTTCAGAGTGCCGATTGTGGATAGATTCCTTATTACTACTATGTGGTGTAATGCATGCATACTGTACTGTCGTACTTGTTATTTCGAAGTGTATAGAAATTCCCTCATTTCTAATAAAAAAGCAAAGAAATCAAATCATGGACACACTGGGAATTGAACCCAGCACCCCCCGCATCAAGCACGTTCTTGCTAAGCGGATGTGATAACCAACTACACCATGTGCCCATGGTTATAAATGCAAATGTGAGTACAAAACAAGACCTTCATGCCGCGTATAAAGTCGAACCCCACCTTGGGTTGTTTTTGTGAGTACATAAGGTTGGTTTATTTTATTTTGACGTTTTATCACTGCTTGTTCTGGATCTGAAGTCTCGACGTGCGACAGACCACTGGGGCCGCCCTAAGTATGCGCATATATCCACATTACTGCATACGTATTTATGTAATGAGAAAGGATCATCTCTCCGACTCTTGCCAGGACTCGGCAGAGTATTAACTTATCAAGTTACGCCCTCCTTCTGCATCATCGCCACTGCTTGAGTTGACACACCCTTTGTGAAGAGTGAGAGTAAGCCTCCGCCAAATCGGCCCCGTGCGATGCGGAGGAAGGGCAGAAAGGTCGTAGCTTTAGGTTAAATAACAACCGAGAACAAATTTGTCTAAGGTGACATAATTGCTAAAAAAAAAAAAAGGTATCCGCTCGCAACAAGCAATACTCCTTTCGTGGTATCTTTCCAGCGTCGAATTTCATCATCGTTGAAACGTTAACGCGTTATTAACCTCGGAGTCATGCTTCAACTGAAGAACCTCATCTGTTCAACTCCTCGTTCATCTTCGCTGTATGATAGTCTCCTCTTCCTGGGCCGGAGTCTACGGTGGTAAATATCGAACTTATGCAGAATATACTCATGCCAAGATAGCCCCTTCAACTGCGAACTGCGGGTCTATTATTTCTGAATGAACGTAAGACGGATAAAGAAGTCAGTGATCATACGATTGATTATTCGATAAGTTTCTATATTTGAGGTGTATCTGTGGAGGTGCATTGTATACGAGACCGACGTCTTCGCTGCCCTGTTCCAACGCAAATCGATATCTGCCGTTTGAGCATATTGCCACAATGAACCAGAAAGTGTAATTGAGAGGAAAAAAGCAATGCAGCATGGAGTTGAGGCTGACAGGTATGAAGGATTTGTGTAATAGTTGAAGCCATTCCGCCCTCCATGTCCCCATGACCCAAATTTAGTACTTACACGAGCTGCTTGTGAGTACATGTGAGTACTGGTACTGAGGCCTTGAGGGGTCGATATATACAAATTAATATTCCTCGTACAGTTTCATCTTACGAACTGCAAATACGTACAGGTAGAATTATGAAGGCACGGTACCTTTATCAGAGACCTGATAAATAGACTGTCCAGGGTTGGGGAACGCAAGATTGACGAGTTCGGTATATGTCACCGTGGCGTCAGCCTTTTTTGAAGTAAATCTTATTGAAGTGTGCCGGTGTATGATGTCGATGAACGTTTGAACTTCGAGAGAAGTACCGTAATATTAATAAGGATCCTGAGTATCGCTCGTCTCCTCCTAGGATAGAAACTTGTAAACATAGCTGAGAAAAAGAAGACAAGACTAGTTCCTTCTTAGCTCAGTTGGTAGAGCGCGTCACTAGTATCATGATATGACGAGGTCAGTCGTTCAAGTCGGCTAGAAGGAATTCATTTTTCGCCTGTGTCCTGGCTTCTTTTTATTTGCAGAAACCGGCGCTTCTGACCTGGACACGAACGTCATGGAGGTAAGGTTCTATATATCTACTTTTCCTAAATTCATTCCACGTTCTTAGGTTGTCAACGCCCGATCTGCGCTTCTGTCAAATTTTGAAGTCTTTGAATTTCTACGCGAGCAAGAAAACGATCACAAGGCGCGTCAAAAGACAGCACAACGTATAAAAAAAGAAGAGGAAGCCTCCGGTATATCTGTAGCAAAACATGTTTCCGCAGTGGAAATTGCTGAAAATGTGCGGACAATACAATTCGAAGTGTGTGTACTGATTGTTTTTGCTCGTCGCCCGTTTCTGACAAGTTACAGGCCATCCAGCATCTTTCTGCTGACTATCAACCCACACGTCGTCAAACTGAAACCGGCATAACGAAGCTTGTCAAGGATTTGGCAAACTACGACCTCACCAAAGCCGAAAAGCTACAGATTGTGAATCTCGCTCCAACTCGGCCAGTAGAACTGTATGTGGTGGGTTTCCCATGTTTCTGTCGTTGCGACACTCTTAATAATGAACATCTGTTAGATCGTGGAGGAACTGGAGGACCGGGTCAGCGATATGGAAGTTATCTTGGATATGGTGGCTTCCTCTTTGTCTACGGAGCCTGTCCCTCCTACAAACGGCTTTTCCAAACTGCTGCCGTCTGAATCCGATTCGGCAGGTGTCCTGTATCCAGAAGACAACGACGTTCACATGGTCGACGAAGCCAACGGATTGGAGTTTGACGACACAGGCGAAGGTGTCGGTGTCGAGGGGGATCTCGATAAGGAGGATGACTAGATTATTGAGCTGCCAGTCTATCTGCATTTCTAATCTTTATTGTGTTGTCTATCAAAACTCAAGCTCGCAAATATGTACCAATATGTTACTCCAAATAATAAAAAACCTGAGTGAAAGACAGTGAAAGACCAAGATCCATCCATTCCATCTGGCACCAATGGTATCATTTTCAAGAAATTTCGTCCAGCGTAAGCCAAGATTCTACATCGCACTGACCGTTACCCTTCCTTTGAACCAATCCCTCATACCCTTCGCCCGCAGGCTAATGCTGGACTTCACGCTCTCTGGGAGACTCTTCAAAGACCTAGTGCTCTTCCCACTCTTCACACTCTTGAAGCTCTCTAGCGAGGGCGCACTCCTTAATCCAGCACCCCTCAGTCCCAGCTTGTTCGCACTCGCATCATCATCATTCAAACCCGCCGCGGGCAGTGACAGCGAGTGTACCCCATGATGAGATGGAGGGTGCGGCGAAGACAGTGACCCTAGCGCATAAGGGCCAGAAATCATGGGACGAGGAGTGGCACACCTCGACGGAGATGTGGAAGGAGTACGTGTTACAGTTGAATTAACTGCACTCGACCCAGAGCATGAGTTTTTTTCGTTTCAATGAAGCGAAGCTTCGGAGGGTACCAGTACCGCTCAATATTCGCTCCCTGCCCCGATCTGGAGTTGGTGTGGCACAGGCCTCCTCTTGCCCGTGTCCACGAGAATGAGCTACACGGGAATTAAAAGTACCCAACTGTGTGGAGACTTCGTCTGCGGCGTCTGCGAGACTGAGATCGCTCGCTGCGTAGGGGTGGCGGATGTAGGAATGTTGGTGGGCCGTTTCTTCGCTCAGATGATCGTCGTTCCTCGTATCCATATCCATTCCACCCACGTCGATACCCATCTCGTAGTCGAAAGGATCAGGTCCGTTGGTTCCGTCCCAGTACTCGTATATCGCGCTGGCGTAATGGACTGTCGGCTGTTCAGCAAATTTAACAGACTTGTTGCTGATGGTGGTGCTAACGCTGTCCTTTCGCTTGGTCCTCTTCCGAATACTAGATTCTAGCCCCAAATCGATACCGGAATCAAACTTGTTCTCGGGTAACGTTTCCGAATACGGTGTGCGGGAAGCTAGGATAGACTTTGTAGGGGAGGGAGATTTACGCCTTTGAATGTCCATATGAGATGCGTCGTCATCTTCAACGACTTCGACGATGGCTCTATGGTGTGGTTCGAATTTCGGCTGAAACTTTTTCGTTTTGCCGAAGCTGGCGATGGTAGGAGAGACGGGTGTCGGAGGAGGAGAAGAGGGGGTCAATGATAGTGAGGAGGCCGAGTTTGAGAGTGCGACCGAGGAAGAGGTGGTTGATGACGTTGTAGAGGACATGGATTCAGAGCGGGTGTGTGAAGTTCTTCTCTTTACGGGTGTGTTGTAGATTGGTGGCGATAGTGACAGGGGTGAAGTTTGCGAATGGTTGCTCGTGATACGACTGGACACGGGGATTCGGGAGATACCCAGCTCTTTCAGACTTCCCCGCGCTTTTCGTCGTTTGGGGCTCATCCCGGTTGCGCCCTCCAAGTTGGCGCCTGACCATATCGACGGAATGGTCTGGGCGGTATGAATCGCTAGAGGACTCGAGGGCTGAGGTTGCTGCTGCTGTGGTTTATCCTTTGATTTACCCAATGTCAGACGAGCCATTCTTGAACTTGAGGATTCATCTATCGTAGAATTGGGTCCAGACCGTGGATGGAGTATCGACGTCCAAAAAGTTCCCGTCTTCCCACTCGTCGAGGGAGCTCTCGAGATGCTTGCCGACGGTTGATGCGAAAGACTTGACGCCGAAGCGTTTAATCCAAAAGACGAAGGAATCAAGACACCAATACTCCCAATACTTCCGACACTACTACCACTACCGTTGATACTGGCATCTCGGCTGCTATTGACGAGATGGGCTGGGAGGCTAGATGAGCTGACATTTAGGCAGCTAGTGGAGACGTCTGGAAAATAACTGGCAGCTAAACCGGATCGGTACGTGCCAGAAGTAGGAGTGACACAGCGACTGCTGTCTGCTGTGGATGCAGGAGAAGGTGTACTGGTACTATTTGTCGAATCAGAAACAGTGCGGCGAGCGTATCTGACTGCTGAAACACGAGGAGGTGATGCCGCCGAGGGCGATTTCGGTCGGCGATAGATCCATTCCGAACCCGGAGAGCCGCTATGAGTGGAGGAGTATGATCCCGAACGTTTTGCCAGACGTGGAGGTGTCTTTATCGGGAGGGAAGCGCTGGCAGAAAGTTTGGGGCTTTCTAATGTGCTTGTTGGCAGATATGAGGACGAAGATACCGACGGTGTCTATTAATCAATCAGAACCTTGTTGTCCTAAATGGCCACTAAAACGCACGACAATATAATTAAGGTTAGAACGCGAATGTCGCCTGTTGAAGGATCCTGACATGCGATTTACGACCTTTGCACTGCTGGATTTGGTAGAACGTTGGTAATGATGGCGTTTGGCGTTTTTATAACGAGATGAAGGCTGGTTACATGGTAAGGAGCACGAAGCGAAGGACGTAAGAGGAGACCTACAGTTGCACGGGAAGGACTAGCTTCAGTTGTGCTAGATTCCTGAAGTATTGCATCGGCATCGAGCCATCTGAGTTCATCGCTATTGACTGAAATGAGGGAAGAGTTGGATTGCTAAATTGGTATATGTTCAAGATCTGCCCGCACACGACTTGTATAAAAACTCACTTGGTACATCCTCTCTAATAACTAACGGAGAACGAAAACCAAAAGCTGAAGGAGGGGCGGGGTGCAAGTTACAATCAGGGAGCGAGGATTTGTACAAGTTCAGAAAAGAGAGCGAAAGCTGAAGAAGCGGGTGGAAAAAGAAGGTCGTAATTAAAACCTGAGAGCTTTTCAATCGAAATTTTGGCCTCACGCCTAGCCTCGAGAACACCCCGCGTTAAACTTCACAGGGATGCCAGGGCATACCTTAAACGCACGGTTTACACGTGTAAGAGCTGCCATAAGTGATGGGTTGAGGTTAACAGAAACTCAATAGAAACGGCGAAAAGCCCAAGACGAAGGCGATAGAGAGGATCAAACACGCTTTAGGCCGCAAGGTGCCTCAAGGTTTTTTCAATTCACGTGATCATGCAGTAACAATTCGACTACGACAGGCGCAGACCGAGGGGAACGAGGAACGAGGAAGGCGAATAAGCCAAATTAGAGCGTGGGCGGCTCGGCGTGAAGACCAGACCAGATTCCCCTGGCGGCCTCTGTAGAGCTTTCTACGGACTTCTTCAATGGTTTGATCTTGGCTCCCGAAGAATCCAGTAGAAGTTGAACTTTTTGCTGGATTTGGGTTACTTCCAGACCGTTCAATGCTACGACTTTATCTCTGTTGTTGACTAGAAGTGAAAAGAAAGTCAATAAGAGAAGATGAAGCTATGATGAGATTACTCACCATAGAAGCCACGTATTATTGGTTCTTTATGCATACGCTGTCTGACGACGAATTCAACGTGAGGATTTTTGTGGGCCAGGTGCTCGATATGATTGAGAAGAAAAGTGCGAGTGTTAGCGGACGAAGGCCATTTGTCGCAGAATTCGACTACAAGTTTTCTGATCTGGGGAAGAAAAGCGGTATGACCGTTTGCAGGTCTAGAGCCGAGTTTTGCGCGAATAATGGGCGCAACTGGAGGTAGGCGCATTGACAGAGATGAAAGTTGCGGCGAAGTAATACTTGGCGCTTATTTCTGTGGCTCTGTTGCGGATTTGCCTTGGATCGGCGAGAGTTTTTGCGAGTCGCAGGATTCGCTTAAGGCGGCTAGAATGTGGATTGGAAGCCAGGGACCTAAACTAATTATGAGCTGAAGATTTTGAAGTAAAACTGACCCAACTGGGACTGGAACTCGAAAACTAATTTAACGCTTGCTACGTAAAGCGTGACTGTATTTTCTCGTGACCCAAGCCTTTCAGTTCTGAAGGATCTCACCTCGCGTCGCGTATTGTTTAATGGCCAGATTCACTCGGTCATCTGCTTCTGAAAACCCGCCGTCTTCGCCCAAGCTTTCGCCAGGCTCTTCAAAAAAACGCACACGGGCAAAGTCGCCACACGATGAGCAGCCACCTGGAAAACACCCAACTCAATCCCCAGCTATTCCGTCAG